CACAACCATGTATACTTAGTATATAGAAAATGGGAGAGAAAAAAAAAGGAAGGTATCAGGAACAAACCAGCCCAGCCCGGCGGCGGCCTGCTCCCCTCTTCCCACTCGCGCGGTCCACCAGCTTCCTCCCTGTTTCTTCAGTGGCGACTGGCGAGCTCCACTTCCACCGGGGACGTGCGCCGCCCACGCAAGCTAAGCGCCCTGTGAACTCCGACAGGCGCGAGCGCCAAGCGTGACCTCCGCCAGGCGCCAGGCCTTGGCCGTGCAGTGCAGGCCCAGAAGTTTGCTGGGCCTTGGGCCTTGGAATCGAGGAAGAGGATCGGAAATGGATTCAAGGCAGACAGAGACACGCCTGACACCGTTATATTAGCTTAAAACATGATGGGGACTTAACGGGATGCTATTTTACGTTATGGTGTTTTTTCAGAGGCTCTCCGTCCAAGAACAATGTAATTCTCATATTTCGAGAAACTAAATACTTTCAAGTTTGATCAAATTTATATACAAATATTTATGATAGAAAATAAATATTATTAGATTAATTATGAAATATCTTTCATAATAAATTGATTTGGAGATATACATGTGAATACTATTTACTGTAAACTTGATCAAACTTGAACTACTTTAATGGGCATGAATATCATAGTTGCATTCTTTTGTGGACGGAGAGAGTACTAATATATATACGGCGGTGTTTGGGACTGCTTCACTCCATATTTTTCAGCTCCGCTTCATGTTTTTTAGCTAAACGGTTTCAGCTCCACGCACTCTGTCCGAGAAAAAGGGGAGGTGCTCTCACAACTTTAGGTTTTTGTAGAGCTACTCCATGATGAAGTTTACAGAGCAGAGTTTGTAGAGCAGTCCAAACACCCCCATTGTTCAAATCTCTTGGTCTTTAATTCGTTACGTTGCATAACCAAGTTTTCCTATTTGGTGCTGGCTTGCATTCGTTCCTCTGATGGCTCTAATAATCTCGTGATTGAGATGTATGCTTAGCTTCTAATCAATGCTTACACTTCTCTCTCTAGAATACCTAGCTGCTAGAAGCTTTGCCTTCAATCAGCGTACAACACATGCACATGATGGGTAAGTACTCGAATTCTTCGTTTGAAGCCATTGCATAAACGCCTTGACACCTGTTTAGTTTTGCATGGAAGCATTAGGCATTTTTTAAAGGATAGGGGTTTGGGAGTGGAGAGGGTCAGGGCAAAGAATTAAATGAAAATCAGAAATTGACCATCCACTTGCTGATAGAGAGTGCAATCGCTACCATACAAACTACATTCACTGTACGTACTGCGCGCCAGGCGCCAGCAGTGAGTATTCGACAGTGATAGCCCTAGCGTTTTGCTGCCGGTTGCTCACCCAGCAGCTAGTGATGCCTATTTCAGAAAATCGATTTTTTTCGACGAGCCTCTGAACGGACATCGAGTACGGGAAGGATCAAAATATGAAATCCTAATTCGGTTCTAATAAAAGTGGACAAGAAGACATTTACCACCTCTGAATCCACATGTGCTATCTAATCCCTGGTTTAGATTAGGTCCTCTTTATTTTGCACATATCTATATCCACATATATCTCTCTTAATATTAAAGCTACACAAGTTTCTTTGTTTTTCGGCCACATAGCCTTAGCCGTATTTTATTTTTCTTCGTAAGTTGTTTTTCAGTTCTGCTTAGTCTAGTCTTTTTTTTCTTAATTTATTTTTGTTCTGTTCGATGTGGTCCAGGTTTAAATTTTTTTTTTGTCTGGCCACTATGTTTTTCGAAAGTTATTTTTTTTCGTTCAATGTGGTCCAGTTTTTTTTTTAAATGGTCCGGCCACCATGTTTTTTGAAAGTTTTTTTTTTTTGCTTTTCTCCATTTTGGGTTCTGTCTAGTCTATTTTTTTTCTTTTTCTTTTTGTCTTGCCATCTCTATTCCCTGAAAGTTTTTTTTCAATGTCTCGATTTCTTTAACTTTTTTTCTCGTAAACATCAAAAATAAATTAAAATACAATATTATCGGTCTTTGAAGTCTTGGCACATCTTATCTAATCGTTACCAAAGATATTCTCACTATCAAGTTGAAGTTGTTGATGTAGTTTTGATTACGAACTTATTATATAATCTAGACCCATCAATGGCCCAATAAATTAAGCCAGAATTTTAAATCTTGAGTAGTTTGTTGTCTAATTCAATCTAAATAAATATTTCTCCAAGCTATACTTATGCACCAGTGCAATCATCAACAAGGGCTGCTATGTGGATAATCGAGAGAGATCTCGTCATAATCACCAGCGGACAAGCCACTCTTTGACACATTAGCAACTTTCTCATTACTGATTTTAATCAGATATTAAAATTGCATTAATTGGTCCTCGAAGGAAGTTACAAAACTCGATATTTAACTATACCAAAATATAGATAATTTGAAAATTATAAAGTTATGATATATTTTTATGAGTAAATGTTTATGTGCTTTACAATGGAAAAATATCTATCAAGTTTGTATTTTAATTCGTTACAGGCCTAATAAAACATTGTTATATTATTACCGGCATTAACTTATATTATGGATGTCATCATAAACTAAATTATAGCTTTTAAATTGTGTAGAAAGGTAAAACATAATTAGATATGTACAATTTTTGTCATCATTTCTTATGAACATTTGATGATTTTTTCCATTGCAACATAAGTACATGTTTGCTAGTAAAATAAAAATTAGAAATTGGCTTCCTTTCTGCAATGAATGCGATCAGCAGGGACCGTTAATAGAGAGTGCAATCACTACCACACAAACTACATCCATGGTCGCTTCCAAACTGGCTTTCACTACCGGATTTTGAACAGGTAGTGGGTATTCGACAGTGATAGCCCTACTCGAGTTTTGCTACCGGCTACTCACCTAATGCCAATGCCCATTTCATAAAAGAAAAAAAGCAAAAATAAACACGCGCCTCCACTCCCTGGCCGCCACCTGTGCCCTTACACCGACCGCCACCCAAGACTAGGCCATTGGCCCATGCTAGGGCCACGCCCATGCTAGAGTTGTGGGGAGGAGAGTGGAGGGGAGGCTTGAAGGGAGGCGAGTTTGACCGGGATCTATGAAGGAGAGAGAGATTGAGAGAGGAGATATCGGGTGGGAGAGCTAGTGACGAATGAGAGGGGGGGGGAAGAGAAGGATAAGAGTGTGGACGTGAAAATTGAGATACTCGAAAAACATCTGTTGTACAAATATATGAGTATGATTTTAGTTACTACATGATTTTGTAATTGTAACTCACTTGTTGAAGCTGCAAAAGTCGAATAATTAGTACTCAAGCGTTGTCTATAGGACTAACCCTTTTTCCTGTTTTGGGGGATAGGAAACGTATCGTCTGCGGGAGTGATCGATTTTATTATCACAATCATCCGATGAGTAATAATACTTAGCACTATGCGGATTCAAAAAAATATATCATTTGATTCGGAGATTTTTACGGTTGCACAATTATGTTTCGGTTTTAAAAAAGTAGTAGTACCCGATTCAAAAAAGTATTCCTAGGATCTAAAAAGTTTCAAGCATGAATTCAAAATAGTTACCACTGTGGTTTATTGTGTTTTGCTCATCGAGTGCCAATCCCATGGATTTACGATTCTAGAGTAATTTCTGCACCAAAACTACTACTGCGTGTGGGCCTCATCAAAATAAAAATAAAGGAGAGGTTGCAACCCCAATGTGTCGAATAGTATTCAACGTGCAACACCTCAAATAGTCCAGTCCTCTCCTCTCTGTCTCTCTCTCTCCTGGATATATTTACGATAAGGATTTTACTCAATTTATGATAATAACGAATACATATATTTATGATACATTCTATTAATATAGCACATGATGATGTTATTTACGATAATGAAATATGAGATTTACAGTAATCCCCAGTGATTTATTATTACATTATGATCAAATATATAGTAACATTATTGTAAATATTCGCAATACCATAAATTAGTACTGATGTACAGTATATCCTAAAAGTAACTCGCACCTTCTATATATATATATATATATATATATATATATATATATATATATATATATATATATATATATATATATATATATATATATATATATATATATATATATATCTCATCCGTGCTTGTTTCTTTGAGCTAAGACAGCATGGGAAGTGAGCAGCAGCCGTCGGAGGTCTCCTCTGCTGCTGCTGCTTGGGCTCGTCGAACAACCAGTTCTCTATTGAGGACAGCTGCTGCTGGGACTCGTGGAAGAAACCGCCGGCGTGTCCCTGTCCCATGAACACCTGCTTCGGCATCGTCGACGTCGTCGTCGGTGGCACGTGGGAGATGGGTGACAGCGCACTGCGGTGCCGGACATGTGTTCGAATGTCGATAAGAAGCTGTCGACGGCAGGCGAGGGTGGTTTGCTATCGACGGCAGTGGCGGATGCAGGATGGAAAAAATGGGACTAAATAATAAAGATTTAGGACTAGGGCCAGAGATTAATGATGATTTGATGCTAGATAAACGTGGTTTAACGAAGAAATCAGACTCACTATGGGCAATAACCCCGACAGCCCCCTTTGGATCCGCCCTTGATCGACGTCAGCAGCGTCGTCATCGCTGCACCGCAGCGGGGAGCTCTTCATGAAGCCTTTGAGCAGCTTGGATATGTTGTCCACGCTAGAGGGGTACGACGACGACGAGTAGTAGTAGTGCCGCCGGGCGATGAGTAGCTGGGTGACCTCATCAGCTGTAGTGGAGCTGCTGCAGGCTGGGCGCGCGTAGCCGTAGCTGTCATCCTTGGAGAGGGGACTACTGGCGGTCCCGCTGTGATGGCGCCGGTCGTCGACATGTCCGGCGGCGGGAGGTGGTGGCACGAAGATGGCCTGCTGTTTTTCTTTTTCCTCCTCGAGCTTCTTCTTGAGTGAGTGTTCCAGTAGTTCTTGATGTCGTTGTCGGTCCTCTGCGGGAGATGGGAAGCAATGGCCGCCCACCTGTTGCCTAGCAATTACTGGAGGTGGACGATGACGCGTTCCTCGCGGGGGGTGAAGTTGCCGCGCCGGATGCCGGGGCGGAGGTAGTTGGTCCACCGTAGGCGGCAGCTCTTGCTGCAGCGCATGAGGCCCGTGTTGACGGGCACGAGGCGCCACCTGCCGGCGCCGTGCTCGTGGATGTAGGAGACGAGGATGAGGTCCTCCTCCGGCGTCCATGGCCCCTTCTTGATCCCCGCCTTGTCGCATTCGCACCACGGCGGCCTGCCCATCGTCGTCGACAGCTGATGTCTCCGGCGGCCGGTGCGTTGGCTGCCTGCAGCTAAGCAATAGTAGCTCTTTCTGGAGTTGTGCCAGCAGTATGAACACTGTTCCACGAAGCATATGACGGTTATATATAGGAACGAGAGGTGCATGTGAGAGACTATAGCTAGCTTATGTGAGCGAGCTCCTTGTGTGCGATCACTTCCTGTCATCTAACTTAATTACCAACCAGATTGCTAGCAACTACCTGATGCGCTGATGATTTGTATTCACTCATGCCATTATATTCTATATAGCTACCTTAGCTATATATGTGTGTTGTTGTGGATGCATACGTTCCCTTTTCTGTCAGGGACATCAAATGGATCATACATCATAGTAGAAATTGACCCAGGCCCACTTTATAGGAAGGATGACCTAATTGAAGAAACTTGTTTGATACTGTTCACACAACTGTGCAAAATTTAAGGCTACTATTAGGGTTTCTAGGCTTTTGAATCTCATTCATGGCAATTTAATCCGCCGTGTATAGGATTATATAGGAAAGATATCATCTAACCAATAACCAACCTATAGCTGTTGCTATAGCAACCATCTGCGCTGATACAATTTGTTTTCACTCGTGTCTATAGCTAGCTTAGTCCATATTAGCTTGACAGAATTGTCCATCTCAAGAGGTTTCAAACTTTTAATGCTTGCAAACCGTCAGAGCTGAGTCACCTATAGAGGATGCGATAGCTAGCTTCATAGGGAAAATCAAGTGTTGTCAGTTTTGTGTGAGAGAAAAAGCTGAGGAATGAAAGTGATTTGTGGAGGTGAGAAAAAAAGAGTGAGGTCATGGTATAAAAATAAGTATGGCTTGCATTAGAGCATGCCCAACGCACCATGGTGTCTTGTGGTCTGCTCGGACGCTACGTGGACGGGAAAAAGCAGCGAGACGGTGGCCTCGCAAGCTGTCAGAGCAGCCTACAGAAGCAGCCAACGCCTCGTCTGACAAATCAGTGAAGCAACACCACCGGAGTCGTGCTTTCTCTACGGGCGCCCACGTACATGCAGGGAAAGCTAGTGAAGGGGACAACAGGGAGTGGTGGGACGACGACCAAGGAGGCATGTGTGCGGTGTGCCCTGCGTTGGGCAGTTGTTGGGTCTTGGTCTATCCGCTCCTACATGGATCAGTACTTTTTATGGGGCTACTAATCTTGTATGCCTGCGTTGGTGCTGGCCTTAGGGGTATCGACCTGTATCAGCCTGTTCGTTTGGTCGTAAACGATCGTAAATTTTCAGCCAGAACAGTATTTTTCTCTCACACCAAACTAGCCAGCAGTAAATAATCCACGATCCTTTACGGCCTCCCGAACAGGCTGATAGTGTCTTAAAATAACAGTGCTTACATGGACCATAACATTTTATGGGACGACTACCATTGTGCGCTTGCATTGGCTGTGCTCTTAGTTATTTATGTTACTCCATTCTGCATGCAAACTTTCACTTTGTGTCAACAACATCACATAAAATCATTTGACACATGCCCGCTTTAAAGCTAGGATCACCTAGAGGAACCATTGGCTGTTGTTGACTTCTGTTGTGCAAAATTTAAAGCTATGGTTTCTAATCTTTTCATGGCTACAAAATGATTTTCCGGAGGCAATTTTTTTTTCTAGAGGTGGCTCTAGGCCTCTATCTAAAACCGTCTCTATAGAGGCCTCCAGGGGATCCCAGGTCCCTAGCAACCGAACTACCTCTAGAAATATGTTTGTAGAGGTGGTTGGCAATACCAGCCATCAATGAAAAAGCACAAGTTTCAAAGACGATAAAAACATCCACCCCCAGAAGTGAGGGCTATTTCCAGAGGCGACTACGAACACTAGTTGCCCCTAGAAACTAGAAACTTATATCTAGAGGCAGCTTATGTTTATACTAGCCACCTTTGGAATGGTGCATAAAATATTTACCAGACCCCTTTCACCTCGGGACAAAACCGTAGCCCGAGGACGGAGAAGGGGGAGCACCTAAGAGCACCCCTAAAATTACAAATCTAAAAGGGGAAATGTTTTTCTCTTGGTTTTCTTGGAGGAGATTACTCTAAAGGAAGTTCATGCTATTACAAATATCTTTTTTGAAGTTAAGTGCTAGATTACTTGATTAATAAGTTTTTGGTTTTATCTCTCTCCTACATGCTTGTGGAACTAGAAATGAAATTAGATCAAATCTTTTGAGGGACTGCAATAAATTGAGTAAGGGAACAAGATTCTCCCACTATTTAACCTCCATGTCTTTGATTTTTATGGTCTACTAGTTAATTTTTGAATGAGGATTAAGTTTAGATCTAGAACTAGCTCTAGATATATGCATGGCATGGGGAGTTAGAGAAACGCTAAAATAAAATTTTTGAGTTATGTTGAATATTAATTGTTGTCAATTATCCTCTTTCAATCTGTTGATTTTAATTATAAAATTCTTAATGTTTTGTTAGTTAAATTAAGTAATATTTTGGATAGGGACTAAATTAATCAATAGCTTGATTGTAGGGTTTACTATTGTTTTTTTACACTGGCAATTCAAGTAAAGTTTATTTTATTTACAAACTGAAATTGAATGAATTCTATAATACTACATTTGTTATCTTAATTGTAATTTCTATGTTGCTACATTTGAATGAATTCCTATTTTTATTTGCTATGTTAAAAGATGGACATGGCCTCATGGATGTACTAGAAGCCACCTTTTCTTCTTGAAGTGGATGGATTTACTAAAGCCATTGAGAAGAAATGTGATCCAATATCTTTGTGGATGGCTGTTGGGCTTTGAGGGAGGTTAAGCAAACCAGCACGTTCACTTGATCATTTTGTTGGATCAATTCAGAGAGACGAAGAAGATGTCATAATAAGAGGTCCAGTCCAACGCTCTCTGGGCCGATCCGATGTAGCCAAGCTGCATACAATTTTTTTTCCCAATGTGCAGGTCCAGCCCACAATCGGAAGGACCCATCAATTTGGAGGTCCAGCCCAAACCCAAACCCAAACCCAAACCCAAACCCCGAAATCCAAAATTTTGGTTGGCGGGGCTTCGGCTTCCCTCCCAAACCCAAACCCAAATTCCAAATCCACCGATCCCCGCGCGTCTTCACAAAAAGCTCCCGCCGCTCCAGCATTCCTAACTCAGATCCCTCCAATTCCCCCAACCTCTCCAAGCTCATCCGACCGATTGATGCGGCGGCGATGGTGCGCGAGCTCCGCGTCGACTCCTTCTACGCGCGCCTCCGCGCCGCCGCGTCCGCGGCCGCTGGCTCCTCGTCCCCGCTCCTGATCCTCCCGTCCGCCGCCGACGCCGACTCGCTGTGCGCGGTCAGGGTGCTGGCGCACGTCCTCTCCGCCGACTCCATCCGCTTCTCCATCTACCCCGTCGCCTCCACCGCCTCCGCCAATGCCCTCCTCGCCTCCTTATCCGGCACCGCGTCCTCCGCCCCGCTCTGCCTCGTCCTCGTCAACTGGGGCGCGCACCGGGACCTGCGCGCTCTGCTTCCCCCCGCCGCTACTGCTTTTGTCGTTGACTCACACCGCCCCGTCCATCTCCACAACCTCTGCGCGCGCAACGACCGCGTCGTTGTCCTCTTCACCGCCGACGACGAGCACACCGCGGATCTCTCCTACGACTTCGACCTCTCCGCGCTCGCCGACGCCTCCGACCTCGCCGCCGACGCCAACGCCGACGACCACCTTTGCGGCGCCCCCGACTCCGACGCCTCCGACTCGGAGGATTCCGACGCCGACGAGGAGGATGACGACGCCGGCGGCGGCAGCGGCGGCAGGAGGAGGAAGAGGCGCCGCCTCTCCGACGACGGCCCCGACCCCGACCCCGACCCCGTGAGGCTCTTCGGGAGGCTGCGCCGCGAGTACTACCGCCTCGGCTCCTTCCACGGCAAGCCTTCGGGGTGCCTCATGTACGACCTCGCCCACGCCATGCGCAAGAACACCAACGAGCTCCTCTGGCTCGCCTGCGTCGCCCTCACCGACCAGTTCGTCCACGACCGCATCACCAACGAGCGCTACCAGGCCGCCGTCATGGAGCTCGAGCAGCACATCAACGGCTCCGGCAACCTCGACCCCTCCGGCGCCGGCTCCGTCGTCACGCTCAAGGATGGCACCAAGATCCGGGCGCCGGAAGCCTCGCGCATCGCCTACGAGGACGAGCCCAGGCTCATGCTGCTGCGGGAGTGGAGCCTGTTCGACTCCATGCTCTGCTCCTCCTACGTCGCCACCAAGCTCAAGACCTGGAGCGACAATGGGCTCAAGAAGCTCAAGCTGCTGCTCGCCAGGATGGGCTTCCCGCTCGCCGACTGCCAGAAGAACTTCCAGTACATGAGCATGGAGGTCAAGCGCAAGATGCGGGATGAGTTTGACCGCTTCCTGCCCGAGTATGGCCTCACCGAGTTCTACTACCGGAGCTTCTTGAGAGTGCACGGGTACAGGTCCAAAGTTTCTGCTGCAGATGTTGTGTATGGTGTCACAGCGTTGCTTGAATCACTGGATGCTGAGACCAAGGACGCAAAGGGATCTTCAGCCGCTGAGCAGTTTTGGGTTGCTTACTCTGCATTGTCACTGAGCAATGCCGACCAGTTGCGAAAAGGGATGCAATCTGCAATTGAGATACAGAGGGCGATACTGAGACAAGGAAGCTCGGCGATTACTAGGACAGGGTTTATACGGAGTGCCAAGAAGTTCCGGTGGGTGAAGCTTGATGACCCTGTGGACACTAACAAGCTTTGCCATCCGCAGGCACTTACCAAGTTCTGCTTCTTTCTGCTGGATGCTCTAAAGGAAAGGGGAGCAAGGATGAAGCCACTAATCTGTGCATGCTTAGCAAACGAGCCTGACAAGGTGCTAGTTGTCGGGGTATGTGGGAAGCCAAGGCTTGGGGCTGTCCAGGGGAATGCGTTTGGTAACGCTTTCAGGTCTGCAGCAGAGGAGATTGGTGCGGACTATTTCCATGACATGTTTGAGTCATCATGGATTGTTCTCGATGTTGTTGCTGTCAGTTCTTTCATGATTCGATTGACGGAGAAGCTATGATCAGATGGCATGAGCTTTGTATAACGCGGATCATTCTTTCAGTTCCTAGGATGGAAGACTCGGGCATGATTCTCTCCAAATAAAGGTGCTGGGGGTCAGGTGGTACACGACATGCATTTTCCTAAATACCAGTCCACCTGCCATTTCACTAACCTAGTGGTAGCAGGCCTGACAGGCATTCTGCTTTCTAAGTTTGAGCTGCCCAATGATCATGACTTCAGAAAGCTGAGAAAATGAGTTTCCTCTGTCTTAATTCCCCCATTAGCCAATGATAGATCTATAGGTTCAGATGCAAATCTGATTCTGACATAGAGGGGGCAAGGTATATGTGTTTACTGTTTTTCTTTATCCGATAGAATGGATGTCTGTATCTGTATCTGCATGAACATGCTTGTGAACATTTGTTGTATTCAATTCTGTATGACAAGTTTCTTGAAATCCTATAAGTTTATAACAAGCGCCTTTATCTAGTATATATTTGTGAGCCTGCTCTTGTTTGTATGAAGTACAAAGCTTATGTTCTTTTCTATATAAAGTATCCTGAAGCAAGTTTTAAGTGGTGCCACTTTCTTTTTGTCAATGTGGTTGGCTGTAAACATGTACTATGTTAATCATGACTGTTGCAGTACAAAGGAGTAACATTATCATATATCAGGTATGTCATCTCCTGGTCCAAGATTGTTCAGGTAGCTACTCTGGAGCAGTACTTCCCCAATGCTCTGGGCAAGTGCTCTTTAGCACCTATATGTTTTCCACAATCTACAGAGAATAGGGAGCTGTTTTGTAACAAAGTCCTATGGTTGTGTTGAATTGTAATTGCTGTGTCCATCCACTAGGCTAGAAGCCAACCATTCAATCCTGACTAACACTGTATCCTCATGTTTCACAGTACAGCCTTCTTGTGTGATTTGCATCCTTGTTCGCTTATCTTATAATCCGTCTTTTTCAGCCTGTTTTTTCAGCCGGAACAGTGTTTTTCACTCGCAACAAATCAGCCGGAACAGTGTTTCGGCTTGTTTTTTCAGCGAAGCGAACGGGGTAATATGTGACAGTTTTAGTAATTTTACACATCGCAGAAAAAAACTTGAATTTCCCAACCAGCTATTGCAAATTCATGATTCTGTGATGTTTATGATCGAAATAGTAGAGAAGAGTTCCATTTCCTGTTGACAAGTGTTAACTGAAATGCTAAATTGCTAATGCTTTCCTTTTCAATTTTAGGTGCATGTTGTAACAGATAGAAATGTTGGCCATCTCAATTTGATTTGAAGCATTAAAAGTTATTTCTTACGTAGTTACACTGACTGTAGTTGAAGTGTTCAGAGTTAGAGAAGTCACGACTCAGGAACCCTTTCGGCCTTTCCAACTGAATTAGCTGTTTTTTTTTAATAAACAACTGAATTAGTTGATATTTGTACAGACTAGAGAGAAATATCATGTATCAGGTATGTCATATCTCCTGGTCCAATTCAGGTAGCTACTCTGGAGCAGTACTTTCTCAATGGTCTGGGCAAGTGCTCTTTTAGCACTTTATATGTTTTATACAGAGAATAGGGAGCTGTTTTGTACCAAAGTCCTATGGTTGTTGTGGTCTTGTGGAGTTGTAATTGTAGTTGCTCGGCCTGTTCGCTGGTTGGTTTCTGGGCTGATAAGCTCGGTTGGTGCTGGTTTGTTGTGAGAGGAAAACACTGTTGGCTGACTGATAAGCCCTGGCTGAAACCAACAAGCGAACAGACTGGCTGTGTCCATCCACTAGGCTAGAAGCCAACCATTCAATGTTGAATAACTCTGTATCCTCATGTTTCACAGTACAGCCTTCTTGTGTGATTTGCATCCTAGAACTTGAATTTCTCAACCAGCTATTGCAAATTCCTGGTTCTGTGAATGTTTATGATCGAAATAGTAGAGCAGAGTTCCATTTCCTGTTGTTAACTGAAATGCTAAATTGCTAATGTTAACCTTTTCACTTTTAGATGCATGCTGTAACAGCAAGAAGTGTTGGCCATCTCAATTTGATCTGAACAAAGTGTTGGCACTTGGCAATTTTTGTGAACCGGAGTATCTTACATAGTTACACTGACTGTAGTTGAAGTGCTCAGAGAAGTCACGACTCAGGAACTCTGTCCAACTGAATTAGCTGTTTTTTTAATAAACAACTGAATTTGCTGTATTTCTGTCTCATCATATAAGTGGTAAACTGAGATTTCCCTGTTTTTCATTCTCCATCGCATGTTATATGCATGTGGTTTTCTAATTAGTTTATTGCTGTTGGCCATGTAAAATTACTGAACCATATCCCTGTTCTTCGGAAGAAGTTTGATATACTTTGTTTTTCAGAAAGATTAATATACTTTGTTACCTGCTGAACATTGTGCTGGGATAAATATACTGACAGTCTGAGTACTTGTATGGATAGCAGTAGCAACAGTGCACCACCCATGAGTATCCCTCTTCTCTTCCTCGAACTGAAAGGCTGGAACTGGAACTGGAACTGGAACTGGAAAGCACCGTGTGTTGGCCTGCAAGTTGAAAGCTTTTGTTTACCTGCTGCAGCGATAGATTGTGGGCTTTATAAATTCTGGCCCAGGGCCTCAGACTCTTTGGGCCGTGGACGTGTGGATTATAGAACAGGAACAGCCAGATTAGCCTATTTTCTGTTTTCACCCCTCTAATCTCTGCAGTCCGAATCCCCGAATCTGTCCACATGTGAACAGACGGCGGCGGTCATCACCATTCACATCCGCGCGGCGACCGGCGAGGCGGCGAGTGAGGATGGCGCCGGCGCCGGTGCCTGCCCGGTTCTGGCCATGGGCGCGCCTCACTGCGCAAATGCCCTTACCAATCCGCAAGCGCGGCATTCCATCGGCGCAGAGCGGCGGTCCATCTCCACACCGCCGTGGCACCCGCGCCGTCTGTTTTGTAAGTTCCCTTCCTTCTCGTACACCTGCTTTTGCTTTTATTTCGTACAAATATAAGAATCACTTGCATTTTTTCTTGCCAACGTGACTGAGCGCATGTTAGTCTGTCTAATGCGCAACCATATGTTTTATGCAATTTCAATGTATGATTTTTTTTTTCACCATAGGATTAAGATCCAACAGTTTCTACCCTTCTTCTACCTCCGGCCTCTAGCCTTCTTCTACCTCCAGACAAATCACAAGATCACATATCCAAGAAACAATTTTTTCTATGGACCGCCGCCGCCGCTGCCATGGCCGGCGCGGGCCCTAGACGTCATATATGGCCACGCGCAGCGTGTGCCCACGGCCGAGGCGTTCCATCCGGCGAGCACGGGCGGGTTGCCCCACGCGCGCTTGATTTGGAGCAGCAGCTGCGCCTCGTCCGCCGCCGGCTAGGAGGACTGCGGGGCCGCACGGGGCAGCAGGCAGCAGGCAGCAGCAGGGAAGCAGCGCGAGCAGCAGGCCGGGGAGGCACGGGCGTGGTGCCTCCATGCACGCCAGTTATGACATGTGGGCCCTAAACGTCATAGATATAAAAAAAAAATCCATGTGTTTTTTTTGTGCTAAAACACATGTGTGTGGTATAGCATTTCTGTTCTATTAAAAGGGAGAGAATCGCTTTTTACCATCATTCACTATGCATCGCTGGCTGTGTTGCACAATATACATGACATTAGTCTAGAGGTGAATTTCGTGGCCATTCCTGACTCTTCTTCAGTAATTCTGCTTCCCTTCTGTCAAATCTTTTTAAGTTCTCTTTGCCTTAATAAAACGCTGACCGAATGGTTGTCAACCTAACGACCAGCAAAACCAATTTTGCAACGCCTAACTCGTGCCTTACTGTATTTGGCTCTAACGATGATGTCCAATCCAATGTCAATCATGGTTGACAGTTGCCGGCTAACTGTTTTTAGCTATATGTGATAAATGTCAGTTCTGTGAACAACTGAATCTTTGATGATGACTTGACATCCACCTACACATTGTCTTCTGGTACTCAGTCCTGCCCTCTTGCTTGATTTTCTTGTTGGAAACAGGCGAAGGTTATTATCTGTTCTTCATGTCAGATAGCATCAATTTGATTGCTAGCAGTAAAGAATTTCTCACCAAATAAATGTCGGTTCTGTGAACAACTGAATCTTTGATGATGACTTGACATCCATCTACACATTGTCTTCTGGTACTCAGTCCTGCCCTCTTGCTTGATTTTCTTGTTGGAAACAGGCGAGGGTTATTATCTGTTCTTCATGTCAGATAGCATCAATTTGATTGCTAGCAGTAAAGAATTTCACACCAAATAAATGTCGATTCTGTGAACAACTGAATCTTTGATGATGACTTGACATCCACCTACACATTGTCTTCTGGTACTCAGTCCTACCCTCTTGCTTGATTTTCTTGTTGGAAACAGGCGAAGGTTATTATCTGTTCTTCCTATCAGATAGCATCAATTTGATTGCTAGCAGTAAAGAATTTCGCACCAAATCTTTAGCCCGGAGCTTTGGCTACGTAAAAGTTTCATGATTTTTTAGTTTGTCTCATACTGTAACCACACTTCCTTGTTTATGTTACTTTCTTCATGAAGATAAATATATATCAAATACGATGAGAGTGTCAAACGTCTCTACTCTAGAATTCAATGATACAAGATCATTCTACATAAATGTTTTTTATGGGAAATCTTATGATACTTGGAAAATAATGATAACCGTTCATCAGTCGAGATCTAATAATGGTTAAGAAGTGAGAGGTGCCTAATTGTTGGACGATACTTAAAATTTGTGGACCAGGAACCAATTCTAAAATTTGTGGAAAAGGAGGCACCTAGTCCATTTGACCCAAGTCCCAACGCTGCCAGCGCTGCACCTACTGTCCCTGCATGCATGCGCTGCCACATCCCTCTCCCTACCAGCGGTGCCCCATCTCTCTCCTGCCGGCTGCTGCATTGAGGGATAGAATGGAATCACCTGCTGGAGCCTGGAGCGTAGGCGGCACTGCAACGGTGCAAGATCAGCTGCACGTCTGGAGGAGAGCAGAGCA